AATAAGTACCTTAACCTACTTGCTAGATATTGCCAGCCTGCAAAATGGTGATGGGTCCTTTAACGGTGACATATGGGGTGAAGTTGATACAAGGTATCCTTTTCCCATATTTCTGCCTCTGAATGCTCCTTGTTATCTTTGTTGTAGTATTTGCATACGTAGTCATTTTCGATAATATACCATAGCTAATTATTTTTCAGGTTTTCTTATACTGCTGTATGCTCTCTTGCATTATTACGTCGCTTGGACAAAATAGATGTGGAAAAAGCTGTGGACTACATCGTGAGTTGCAAGAATTTGGATGGGGGGTTTGGATGCACTCCAGGAGCAGAATCTCATGCCGGACAAAGTATGTATTATGCCTTAATGCTGCTCAGATACTAGTGATTGTTACTAATATAAGTCATCTACCACAACTCTTTTGCACAGACACACTGAAGCTTTTATGATAATGAAGTACTTGTGCACATAGTATCTAAATGATTGTCCGATAGGCTAACCGAAGGAAGAAATATTAATGTCATAAACCACCTAAAAACGTATTCGCCGAAGCACACAGATGAAACAAAATCCAACTACTAATTGAACATCTAAGTTAGGCTGACATTTTAAGATTGCACTCCCACCCCTAGGAAATTTATTTTATCTGTATAAGCTTATAGCTGTGGTAGTCAGTATTGAGTTTTGTCACGGTTTAGTTTATTGTAGGTATTAATTGACCAAGAACTTCACAAACTGTCTATTGCAGTTTTCTGTTGTGTGGGGACTCTTGCTATCACTAATTCGTTGCATCATGTTGACAAGGACCTCTTGGGATGGTGGTTATGCGAACGACAAATGAAATCAGGAGGTCTAAATGGAAGGCCTGAAAAGCTTCCCGATGTATGTCACTGTTTTTAGTTTATGTTTCATACTGTCATATGAAAAGAAAACAAAGAGAACATAAATCAATTGTCAAGAGCAAGTTTGATCTATTACCTGCTTCAACTTCAGGTCTGCTACTCATGGTGGGTCCTTTCCAGTTTAATCATGATTGATAGAGTTCACTGGATTGACAAGGAAAAGCTGGTTAAGTTCATCTTGGATTGTCAGGTGTTACATTTGAAATTTGACTTATGCACTTTTAGTTGGTATTTGGAGGCATGGTTTTTAAATTCTGGTTACCATCAAATAATGTAAGAAATTTGGGGCTGCGACGTGATTTAATGGTGCAGGATAAGGAGAATGGTGGGATTTCAGATAGGCCAGACGATGCAGTCGATGTCTTTCACACTTATTTTGGTGTTGCTGGTATGATTGAGTCCTTTAATCCCTCCCAACATGTGACTTAGTTATTAAAACTTATTATAAACCTTAGTTATGCATCCAAGTGGTTATGAAACCTTGCTTACCTGTTTTTAGTTGTGTCTGCAACTTCAGATTTGTGATTTTCTCGTTTCATGATTCATAGGCCTGTCCCTTCTTGAATATTCGGGAGTGAAAGCTATAGATCCGGCATATGCATTGCCAGTTGACGTTATAAATCGAATCCTCATCGGCAGATAAATGTAACAGCTCATACAATTCTCCACAGATGGTTAGTAATGTTGCGGAACATAAATCCAGTTTAAATAAATTTATTGTACGAAATTGTTATTGTTCAGCTCTTGATGCTCTTGTGGTTTAACTTTGGAGCAAGGTTATGTTTGGTAGACAAATAAGCTAGATTACAGTTTATTTAGTTAGCTTTTAAACTCCCTGTAATAAGTTCCGTTTGGTAGGACGAGCTTATTTAAAAAACTTGAGCTAATTTGATAAGATTCTTTGGGTAGCTTTTCAAATAAGCTCGCTGAAAATTTTATTTCAGCTAATTTATTGGCTAATTTTACCAAACATCTTTATCATTTAAGCTAGTTTTTCAGCTATAAGTCATAAGTTATAAGCTCGAAAATTACTGAGAAGCTATAAGCTAGTTTATCAGCTAGTTTTACCAAACATAGTCCAAATGTCGTATTGAACTCAAAAGATTTTTTAGTTTGATTTTGATATTTAATTTAAGTTGCAATAGAGCTTAGAGTTTGATATGCTTTCTCAACATTGTGGATCATGCTCCATGTTCTTCTGATTGTGTTTAAGTCACTGTAAATACGAATGTTATATTGCAAATATTTATAGGGCTACTGGGGCTAGTTTGTTATTTTTCGAAATGAGATACGACTAAATGGTTTTGCGGTGGGTGGATTGTATTTTTTTGTCTGGATTTAATTAATTCCTAGGTTGTCACGTGATTGGTGGCTGGGATAGCAAAATGTGACATTGGCTACACAATTTGTTTCCAAGGATAATTCATATGATAAATTTGTTAGAAATAAGTGGAATGAGCCACTATGCAAAATAGTGACATTTCACTATTGGGAGAGATGAGAATAGTAAATGTGGTATGAGTATGAATTATTTGTGTGCAAAGGTGTCGGTAGAACTTTGCCTATAAAAGACACTCCAAATGTAGAGAAAAATACACATTGAAAAGAAAGAAAAAAGAGAGAAATATTAAGTATAATTTCTATCCGGTTTTCATTTTGTGTTATTTATCTTTCGCGTTTTTATAACACGTTATCAGCACCAGTACTCTACCCGGTCAGAAAGGTAAGAATATAATAATAATAATAATATATACATGCATATGTATTACATAAAATTAGTATATTTTACTAATATACATATTATCATTATTCTTGACAAGTAAGGCTCTGCCATAGTCAAAGATATGTGGTATGAAAATACTAAATATGACATTATTTACACATTACCATTATTATTGACAAGTAAGACTATGTCATAGTCAATAATATGTGGCAAGATGATATTATTAAATTTGCTTATGAATTACTACTAATTATGAAAAATAACTTCAAGTTATAATAATAATATTATTACTTATACTTAACACCCACAAAATGGTTTACCCACTAATGTGGCGTGAAATTTATAACTGCTTATTCTTGTACCCACTGAAAGATTTATCGAGTAGTGTGGAGTGACATTTTTTGTTTGCTTTGTTACTTATATTCATTAAATTGTTCACATAGTGACTCGGGAATTTTTAAGGTAATATACAAGATTAATTAGAATTTTATAATCATGAATGATTAACTAACAAATATTATATCATTAATTTGTTTCCAACGGCTACTTAGCGGCTATATTGCAACGGCTATTTATCAATTTATATATATAACACTACACTTCATATTAACACTCATTCCAAATACTAAAATATGTTCCCCTCAAATGGAAAAAAGAAATGTTTCATCTACTATTTATAATTACCATTATATTGTTTATCATTTACTCTTTGGGAATTTTCACGATGATGTATCATACTGATGAATTTATATTTCATGTATTAGGTCTTTGTATAATGTGTTTCTTATTTGCTCTTCTGTACGTTTGGAGAATTAATGATTGTATATGTAATTTTCTCGAATCTAAGAATTGATGTTTTATTTTTATAGTTATCATGGCTAATCTGGTCAAACTTGAATTTGAGACTCTTGATATATCTGGGAAAAATTATATTTCATGGAAATTGGATGCCGAAATTCATTTGGCTGCAAGGGGGTTGGGAGAAACAAAAATTTCCCTAAATGATTCATCAATACAAGATAAAGCTAAAGCAATGATATTTCTGCGACATCATTTGAATGAGACATTGAAAAATGAATATTTAACTGTGAAAGATCCTGCGGATCTCTGGAAGCCTTGAAAGAAAAGTATGATCACCAGAAAACGGCAATTCTCCCTCAGGCTCGTTATGAATGGTGCACTTACGCTTCCAAGATTTTAAAACTGTAAACGAGCACAATTCAGCAATGTTCTGCATTTGCTCGGTATTGAAATTATGCGGGGAAAACATAACTGATTACGATATGCGGGGAAAAAAACGTTGTCCACATTCCACGCTTCAAATGTACTTTTGCAGCAACAATACAGAGCAAAAGGCTTTGTGAAATATTCTGAGTTGATTTCTTGCTTGTTGCTAGCGGAACAAAATAATGAGCTGTTGATGAAAAACCATGAATCTAGACCCACGGGGTCTACTGCGGTCCCTGAAGTAAATGTTGTAATATCTAGACAGGGAACCGAAAATGAAAACAGCCAAACACGTGTGCGTGGATATACCTCAGGACGTGGCCGTGGTCGTGGACGTGGTTGTGGATATGGTCCAGATCGCTGATCTGGCCGAGGACACAAATTTCACCGAGGGTATAAATCGGGCCGAGAATATAATCGTTGACGAGGCCGTAACTATGCCCAAAATTATGAAAGGGGGAGAAATTTTCAGCTAAAATTTGAACAGAATAATGTGATGGAGAATAATGATGAAAAGACATGTTATCGATGTGGAAGAGACATTGGGGATCAAATTGTCGTGCCCCGAGACACGTTGTTGATAATTATAACGATTCCCAGAAATCAAAAGATAAGAAAATAGAAACTAATTTTATGGTTGGGGAATCCTCCGAAAATGATGCAGCACGTGTGGATGATGACTATGTTATCGATAACATATTGAAATTGGATTTTGCCGATGCAGCATTTGAAGACAGAGCTGGAATGACCAAAAGAATAACTGATGATCATATTTTTTTTGCTTTCTGAGTTTTAATGTATTTGTGTGTGAACACTTTTATCTGTACTTCGAATTTGATCAATAATAAATGGTGTTTTCTTTAGATCATGGATCGGTCTCGAATCCAAGATGGAGATATATGTATTGCAGATTGTGCCACTACCCACACTATACTTAAAGACAGAAAATATTTTGTTCACCTAGAAATAAATAAAGCGAAATCGAACACGGGAAGTGCAAAGATAATTGAGGGGTCTGGCAAGGTCATTTTTTTATGATGGGAGGTACAAAATTTACATTTAATGATGATTATTCTCCCCAAAATCAACAAGAAACTTGTTGAGTTTTAAAGATATCCAAATGAACGGATACCACGTTGAAACAATGAATAAAGGGGGAGTTGAATATCTTTGCATTACCTCAAATAATGCGGGAAATAAATGTGTTTTGGAGAGGTTACCCGCTCTATCCTCGGGTTTATATTACACCAAGATTAATATGATCGAGGCTTATGCTGCAAAAAATTCAAAGTCGAATGAAATGTTTAAATTTTGGCATGATCGACTTGGTCACCCTGGCTCAATAATGATGCGAAGAATTATTGAAAATTCTAGTGGGCATCCATTAAAAAATCAGAGGATATTGCAAACACAGGAATTGACATGTGCCTCATGTTCTCAAGGGAAATTGATAATGAGACCATCACATATTAAAGTCGGTCATGAAATCACCATTATTTTTTGAAAGGATTCATGGTGATATATGTGGACCTATTCATCCACCTTGTGGTCCATTCAGATATTTTATGGTGTTAATTGATGCCTCTAGTAAATGGTCTCACTTAAGTTTGTTATCCACTAGAAATGTGGCATTTGCTAAATTACTTGCCCAACTTATTAAATTAAGGGCTCAAATTTCCAGATTATATTATCAAAAGAGTCAGACTTGACAATGCTGAAGAGTTTACATCTCAAGCATTTAGTGATTATTGTATGACAGTGGGAATTGATGTTGAACATCCTGTGGCACATGTTCACATTCAAAATGGTCTAGTAGAATCATTGATTAAACGACTGTAGCTTATAGCTAGACCATTGATAATGAGGACAAAACTCCCCACTTCAGTATGGGGACATGCTATTCTGCATGCAGATGATCTAATTCGAATAAGACCAAGTGCATACCATACATACTCGCCATTACAGTTGGCATATGGTCGAGAACCAAATATGGCACATATAAGAGTTTTTGGTTGTGCAGCGTATGTACTAATTGCTCCGCCCCAACGTACAAAAATGGGGCCTCAAAGAAGGTTGGGAATATATTGGATATGAATCTCCAGCAATAATCAAATACCTTGAGCCAAAAACAGGTGATGTTTTTACAGCTCGGTTTGATGATTGTCATTTTAATGAAGAATTGTTTCCCCCCTTAGGTGGGAATGAAAAGTCAAGAAATATTGAATGGAGAACATCATCACTATCATATCTTGATCCTCCCACCAAACAAAGAGAGCAAGAAGTTCAAAAGATCATACATCTGTAGAATATTGCAAATCAATTGTCAGATGCATTTACTGATTTAAAAAGGGTGACCAAATCACATGTGGCAGCTGTAAATGCCCCTGCTCGAATTGAGATTCCAAAAGAAATGACAAATGACGATATATGGCAAATGAGTCAAAGACACGCTTGAAACGAGGAAGACCAGTTGTGTCTAAAGTAAGAATCCTCGAAAGAAAAGAGAAATTCATGACTCGAATTTGAAAAAGAATCAAGATGATGGAAAAATTTTGGGACGAAATGAAAATATTGAAATTTCCATTAATTACGTAAACAATGAGAATCTTTGGAAGCGTGATAAGATCATAAATATTGATGATGCATTTGCATATATGGTATCGAAAGAAATTGATAATGAAGTTCAGGATCCT